AACATCAAATAGGTAGAGTTCCACCTAGTTGGTACATGTGGGCATACAAGAGCTTTTGAATCAAGTTTGAGTGTGGCTGTACATTTCTTAAAAACATCATGCCTATGAAGAGATGACCTCGCATATCTCACCGCAAGTCTATAAAATCGTCCATTTCTTTCAACCTATCACTCACAACAAGATTAAGAATATATGCACAACAACGCATATGAATAAACTCATGTTGCAAAATAGTCTCCTTCCAATCTTTGGTTATCGTTTTCAAATATTGAATGGTAGGATTATTAGAACTAGCATTATCAACTGTTAAGGTGAATATGCTATCAATGTTTCACTCAATCAAACACGACTCAATTTTCTAACCCAATGTTTTTCATTTGTGATTTTTAACTTGTTGAAAATTTATGATTCTTTTTTAAAGTTTCCAGTTATCATTAAAGAAATGAGTAGTCAAACAGATGTAACACAAATTCTGAATAGATGTCCAAGTGTTCGTAGTAAAGCAAATTCTATGACCTTTCATGGCCTTCTTTAACTTATCCCTTTCATTCTTGAATATGTTAAGCACTTCTCTAGATATGGTTTGATGAGAGGGAATTGGTGTGGATTTGGGTTGCATGGCATTACAAAATCTTCTAAACCCAACTCCCTCCACAAATCTAAATGACAACTCATCAATGACTACCATCTTCGTAAGAGACCTTTTACAAGTATCAAAATTAAAAGTTGCTAATACAACCTCAACACTCTCTTCATTTTGTTTCGATTTGACATGTAATGTTTCTTGACCATCTATATCCCTATTTGGATATTCTTTACAATTGGGTGTATGACACCTCAAATTGCTAGTCCCATGAAGTCTAGAGTCAGTCAAATACTTTTTCTTGCAATATTTGCATACGCCTCTATGCTTCTTATTGGTCCTTACAACCTTATTAAAATGATCGCAAACTGTGGATGGTGCTCTCTTTTCTCCGTCTTCACTCTTTCTTTTTAAGGGTCTAGGAGGCTTAGGTTCAGGTTCAGCTAAAGGGGGATTCATTTGAGAATTAGAATATTCTGGAGGTAAAAGATTGATTGTGGGAGATTCAACACTATCCTCCATTTAAATTGGATTACAAATATTACAGATTCAATTTCAATAACATAACAGATTACAGATTCAATTAAAATAACATAATTACAGATTCAACACAATTACAGATTCAATTTTAATTATAGATTTAACACGATTACATATTCAATTTCAATAACATAACAAATTTAATAACAGTTTCAATTTAATAATAGATTCAATCACCCTCTAAATTTTTTTTAATACCAGTTTCAATTTAAAATTTCAATAACAGATTTAATTTCCACTTCTAACACAGATTCAATAACAGATTTAATTCTAATAACACAGATTTAATAACAGATTTAATTCCAACAACACAGATTTAATTTCAACTCTGTGATTTAACAAAGATTCAATCACAGATTCAATAACATATTTAATTCCAATAACAGATTCAATTAATTTCCAATATATTCAATAAACTCAGAGAATAAATAGATTTAATTTCCACTTCGAATTTAATTTCTAAAATCTTAATCACCATTTGAAACAGAATCTTAGTCACCATTGAAACAGAATCTTAGTCACACAAACAGAAATAAACAAATAAACTCAGAAATCTGTTGCTACACATTTGATTGCATAAAAAAAATTTAGAGACTGGGGAAAGAGAGAGACAGACAGATTTGATTGCCTAAAAAAAAAATCAAATATTGGAGGGAGAGAGACAGAGACAGAGACAGAGAGACGCTTACCTGAGAATTGCAGAGCAGAGTTGATCTTGCGAAGGTCAATCAGTGGCTTCGCCAGTCGAGAGAGAGAGAGAGATGGGAGAATGAGAGAGTGAGATTAAAAGAGAGGCTGCACACAGAGAGAGACAGATTTGATTGCCTAAAAAAAATCAGAGATCCAAGAGACAGAGACAGAGACAGAGAGACGCTTACCTGAAAGTTGCCGGATAGAGAGAGTCGATCTTGCTTGCAAAGGTCGATCGGTGTGATGAGAAAAGAACTGTGAGCAGATGAAAAACGAGAGAGACTGATGAGATGAGAGGAAAGAGAACAGCTGCACAGATGTGTTTTTGAGAGATTAGGGTTTACTTTGGTTTGTTTGGGTATAGATGAATGGTCCAAATTAAAAAATAAAAAATAAAAAAAAATGTTAATGCTGGTGGGTTGGGCAGGTATGGTTCAAACTCGCAACCCGAAAATTAGCCAGAATCCAAACCGCACCCGACCTTATTGTGTTTGCGAAACCGCCCATATCTGTGCGAGTCGGTTTGGGTAGGATGGTTTGGGCTGGTCGAATAATCCTATGCCCAGCCCTACCCTACACCCTAAAAATGAACTTATCAACAATTTTTTTCTTAAAAAACATATTTCGTTAAAATAAGAATAATAATAATATCATATTTTCCTTATCTTATTATCTATATTATCTGATGGTAGGGATGAGGGAAAAGTATTTGATGGTTTTAGGGTAAATTAATGTGGTGCTTCAACTTAATTTTTATTGGTTTAAGTTGAGGGAATCAATATTTTTTGTTTGATTTTTAAGAGATAATATGATAAGTGTCACGTGTTGAATAGGGTGAAATAATGTCTCAAGACGGCCAAATAACTTCATAGGAATGAAGGGTAATTTAGGTTAACGTTATGAGGTATTAAAGGTTGGACAACAACCGCTGTGAGTATAATGGGGCTCATTCTGCATTCTACTTTGATGATATGAATTGTTCACTTTTTAGGACACGTTAAGTAGAATATCTTTTTAAAAATTCACATTGATTGGACAACAGTAGCCCTATGAATAGATCAAATTTGTATTCAGTTTTATAATTAAAATTATAGTGGGTTTTTTTATTTTTTATTTTTTTTTGTAGATACAAATTTAATCTAATCATAAAGTTACTAACGTTCAATTAACCTGGTTGTTTACAAATATATTTTATCTTATGTGTTTAAAAAAATAAACTATTTGAATTATTAATATAGAACCGAAGTGGCCCTCGTTGTGCTTCACTTCCGTGCAAAGCGCAGAACAGCCCCACCTCATCCAAATGTTAGAGATCTGATAGTATTTATCTCCATTAGGCTTAGATTGATTTGACAAAATACTCGATTTTATCATATTTAATAATAATAAAATAAAAATAAAAGATATTTTCTGTATTTGATTTCAATTTTTTTAAAATTAATTTTTTTATTTTTCGTATTTTTTTATTTTTAATAAACATTTTTAAAATTTTAAGCAATTTTTTATATATTTTTTTATATGTAACTTATTTAAATGTATCTAAAAAGTAAAATATTTACAAAAAAAATATTTTAAAAAATTAATAAATATACAAAAATACAAAAATGTATTGAATTCTTTTTTTATTTTTTTTATTTTTGATATTTAGTAAATTTTTAAAAGACTTTTTTTTTACAAATATTAAACTTTTAATTGTATTTATGGGGTTGTTTGGGATGATTTAAATAAGTGTACTTTTTTGAATTTTTACGAAAAAACGTGAAATATGGGTTGAGTTTGAAATGATATGGTAGAAAGATGATGTGATTTAAATGAGATGATGTGACTTAAATATGATAGTGACTTTTTGATTTTTTTGTATTATGCCAAACTAGGAAGTGTATCTAAAAATTAAAAAATTATTTAAAATATTAAAAAAATTCAATGAAAACAAAAAAGTAAAGAAAACAAAAAATTTTAATTTTCTGAAAAATAAATCCTAAAACCAAACAAGCTTACGACACACAAAGTACTTGACAGTGAATGACAACATTTTTGTTAGGTTAGTTCTATGATACGATAAAGGACACGGGTTTAAATTTGATTAAAAATTAAACGAAATAACTTTCTAAGACCATCTCCGACGGTGAACCAAACCTGACATCAAATTTAAAATTTGGTGAAAAAGTCACTTTTTTAAGCTCCAACGTTTTCACCAAATCGATATCAAATCCAGAATTCAGCAAAAATGGTAAGTAGGGATTTGTCTCACTATACTTAAATTAGGGTATGCTAAAATTTTAGTGGGTGTTTAGAAAGTGAGTTTTTATATAGGTTTTTTTAGTTGTAGGATATTATTGGAGAAATTTTTTTTTGTGTTTGAGAAGATAGTTAGATTTTTTTGCGGTTGAATGTGATATTTGTGAGAGAAAAAGTGAAACGATTATGGGATTAGATGTGATATTTTGTTTGAATGTGTTTTTTTTTTTATTTTACAAAAATTTTGTCTTTTTTTGAAAAAAATAAAAAAAATCCAAGTCCCAAACTTCCCAAACAAACAATTATTTAAATTATTTGACGCTATTTCTAAAGTGAAAAATTTAAGGATAAACTATCAATACGTCATAATAGTTGAACTTAATTTCCATCAAGTCCTATTGAAAATAAATCTTGATAAAATTGTCGCTAAAAATAATTTTTTTGTGACAATTTTTTACATACATCGCTAAAAATTGATAATTAGTGATTTTTTTTTTTGTCATAATTTTTATAAATTGTTATTAAAACTTACAATTAGTGACTTTTTTTATGACCAATTTTTTTCATAGGACCTATTAGACAATAAGTCCACTTATTAAGACCTACACGTAATTACCCGAGATTTAAAGCATAAATAAGGTATATGATCATTGTATTTAAAATAACAACCTCCAACAGAAAGGAAAACAAAAAACACATAAACCTCAAAACCAAACTATCCAAGGAACGGTAATAGACATGAAGGTAAGGCAGCAAGACATCCGCAAGCTGACAGATATTAACACCTGCACAAGAACCAACAAAACACAAGTCCATACCTGGATGATGACAAAAATTTCACAAGTTACTAATGAAAGAGAGTCCATCTTAGAGGGATCTGGAACGGACTTTGGGTCAGTACAATTGTCTTCTATGTGATGCCCTCATTTCTGCTTGTTGTGATCTCAACTTTGAGAGTACTGAATTATACATTCTGTGCTTTATTTCAGTTTCTACGTGTATTCACACAACGAACACATAATAAAACAATGGTGCAAACTACAACAGCTGAATTACGGATACTACCTAACAAAAATTGAAGAAAAACAAAATGTTCATCTGCATTTTTTGTGGGTGACAATCATGTTCAATTTAAATACTCTACAATCTACGTACATTTAAAAAAAGGCAAAAACAAAAGGGAAGACTCAAACAACCATTTCAGCTTCTTTAACACTTGTAGGAATCCCCACATCTAACCTCATGGTTGGCATGTATTGCTCAGGGACAGCAGCACCACCCTGCACACAGATTTCCACCACTGCCGGAGCTTGACCATAGAAGTTCCTCAGCTCCCTTTCCAACACTGGCTTATTCACATCTGGCACGTGCCACACGTGTCTTGGCGGTATCAAGTCGTCAATCACTGCCGCTTGCCACCCATGTTGCCCATTTCGCTGCTGGTGCTTATGGGCCCCACAATTCTGGGCCTTGTGTCCACTGGGCCCCACGTGCACCTCCGGGCAATATCCACAAACCCTCACTGTATACATCCTCATTAGCTTCTTGGCTCCTTGCCTCATTTTTTCCCATGCTTGGAGTGTTTCCTCGGCAAGCAAGGCTGTTTCTTCTGCATTTGCTGGGGGTACTATTTTATCAGCGGGTAGTTCAGTTAATAAAGGTATTTTGGGAGGTTCTGGTTCAAGGTCTGGTAGTTCACTTTCGTCTGCATCAACAAATTCATGTTTTCCAATACGAATTATTGGCTTTCGCCTCCTTTTTGTGGGGAATTCGGGTAAATCAACTCCGGCCTGGATGCAGAGCTCAACTATAGCTGGAATTCTGGGGATTGAAAATCTCTCTTCATGAGGCATACGATTCCCAAGCCGATCAAAGAGGTGGTAAGCTTCAATTGGCACCAATATGTCTTCGACAACTGCATTTGTCCACTCATGGGTTCCCCTGCGGAATGGAGCACCTTGGCCTCTACATGACTTGAATGGATGCCCAACGGGTCCCACGTGGATTTCATTACACCACCTGCAAATGTATTGCACGAAATTGTCACTGGACCAATTCTAAGAACAAGTGTCCTGAAGGAGTCAAAAAAATTGATAAAAAGTGTTTGGAAGTCCACATGGTATAATGATTTCTAACAATTAAAATGACATTCAAGGCCTATTTCAGATGTGTATTGAGATGGCGGAGAAGGTGATGCGGGTATTAGAGTGCTATGAGCGCAATTTCAATGGGGCACTTTCACTGCAGACAGGGACAGTCTAGCGCTCCATTTGTTTCGGCAGAAAACATTTTCTATGGAATTTTTTTTCATATTTGGTTGCTTGCTTGAAACTAATGTACAAATAGTTATATTGGTGATGGTGGTGGGGCAAAGGTGAAGGTGCGGGGGTGGCGGTGTGCGGTGAAGGTGGCGGTGGCAGTGATGCTGGTGGTGGTGATTGCATTGGTAAGATTTTAGTTCATAAAACATTTCACTTTTTAAAAGTGGAAAAAAAATCCGCCCAAATAGGCTTGTTTTCCGTTAACCATGGAAAACATCTTCCATTTGAATTTCGTTTTCTATACCAAATGTCAGAAAACATGGAAAAAATGTTTTCTACCGAACAAATGGAGCAAAAATGATTCTGAACCAGCTAGACAGCCAGACATTCCAGTTGAAACACAGGTCCAAAAGACTCATGTTCCAAATTAGCCGAAGGCAATCAATAGGGGAATGAAGAAAGAAAATTACTTGCAAGCATGTACAAGAACCACTTTTGAGAGCTTTTTTAGATTGTTGATCAATGTCACTCTTGCATTCAACACTTCGTATGCAAGTGGAATTAGGCTTTTAACCACCAAGCCATTTTTGGGGGGAGGTGCTGGTCTTTTAGGTTGGCCTTTTCTGTTCTTAAACCTCTCCCTTGCAGCTCGCCTCAGCTCGAGTATGGGTATAGGGAAAGGCTTTTTCTCCTTTTTTGAGTAGTACCGAGGCAAATCAGCATTTTGGGGATAGTTGCATCTGAGCACCAAAGCATGAGGTTGAGACAAACTCTGTGATGTGCTCCCAAATTTCAGTCGAAGATTGAGTTTACTGCCACCATAATGCAAAATGTGAAGACAAAAAATTTAAACAGTATGAATCTGTAAGGTAGTGTTTGGTTGACTAGAATAAAGGTGGATTGGAATGGAATGACCATTCTCTTACAATGGTGAATGATAATTCCATTTGCAAATGCATTTTCCATCATTTTTTAGTGAACCAAACATGAGAACGGACATTCTAATAGAATAATCATATTTCAATGAACCAAACATAAGATAAGAGTTTCAGAAAAAGTCGTCTACAGAATTGAGAGGGTTTTAACTGGTAATCTTTAGATCTAAAATTTGTAAAGGAATATAGGTGTTAACTAAACTTTCTGAAGAAAGCAATTAGCATCGGTAGAAGTGCTCAACTCAACACTGGCTCCTCGAAAGCAAGCTAGGGTTCAGATTTCATAGTTAAAATATTCTTATCAGCAGGGCATTTCAGAGCAGTGGGGGTTACTACTGAGAATCGTTTACCAGCAACAATAGCACATCGATTAGTCCTGGAACATATTTAAGTAGAGAAACCAATACAACAGAAATCCTATTACTGATATCCAATAGATCAAACGAACCAGAAAAAGGGAAGTCCTCTTGGTTTTTTCTTTTTTCTTTTTCTTTTATTTTTTAATTATAAAGATGGTATATTGGGAAGATCCCCAAGGCTTTCTGAAAATTAATTTCACTTGTCAAAAAAAAAAAAAAACTACTTCACTGTTATTTTATAAATAAAAAAGCCATTTAAGTGACTTCATTGAACCTTACATGAAACTATTTTTCTTTTAAAGATAAGACAGTACATGCGAACTACACACAACATTATTAAAAACCTAGTACAAACATAACAGAAGATTTTATACATGTATAAAAAAATTACTCACTTATTTTCTCGGACAAATCAAATATAAGTTAATATCTGCAGCCTAATCAACATGCCAAATCTGGTGCACAGATATAGAATAAATGTGTATACCTTAAGAGAATCAAGTGAACCAAGACCCGAATATTGGTTAAGCTTCAGAGATTCCACTTCGGGAGGTTGAGTCCTCCCTTTCCCAGGAGGCAAAATCACAGCACCAAACTGTGTGTGAAAAGAAGCACAATCCATTCCTAGAAGCTGCAATTAATAACTTCAAAGATATAATTCATACGACAAAAAAAATTAAAAAAATAAAATAGAAAAGATTTATTTAATTTTTTTTCCAAACAGCAACAAAAACAATTTTACTAAAATAAAAATTGAAAACAAGGGGAGGACAAGAAGTCCTCGTACAAAGACAATAACTAGTGCCAAAATCCAAAGAAGCACCAAACTAAAACATATGACAAACTGCCACTAGGTAAAACAAACATCAGCTCAATCCCTAGAAATAAAAAAAAAGAGGTATGTCCTTGAAAGGAGGAGGCACAATGGCCCAAACTGATGCGAGATGCCTCACCCTATCCCACAAAGCTACCTTTGATTCATTTTCATTAAAAATTCTATCATTTCTTTCCAACCAAATGGCCCAAAAGAAAGCAAAGGTAATGCAATACCACAATGTTTTGGCCTTCTTATTACTTCCAAATCCACCATATGAAACCAGCAGCAAATGCATGCGCACCCATGGAGCAACCACAGCACGTCACAAAGGCCAAAGAGACGCTGCCATAGTGTAAGGGCCAACGGGCAATGTACAAACAAGTGATCCGCCGATTCCGCCTCCCTTCTACACATTATACACCATTGAGGGCCAAGAGAATGAGGGTTCACAGGCAATGAAAATGAGAAATTACCAAGATTCTATGAACACCCAATTGAAGAGAAGACTAGGAAAAGACAGGTTCTATCTTGTTACAACAAAAGATCAATGAACAAATAGAAGAAAAATGAAGGAGAAATTACAAAACAAACAAAAAGAAAAACCTTGTAACACATCAAACCCTAGATTTTTATTTTGGCCAATTTAAACTCTGGTCTTTTGAATTTGTCTCAATCTAAACCATCCCATCTATTTTATGTTAACTAGACTAACGGAGAAAGGGTAATTTTGTCAATTCTGTCTGTCTGTCTGTCTATCTGTCTCTTTCTGGGCCTCTGTTTTCACCAGAAAAACATCACACTTCTTTCTTCAACTCTCCACTATACTTTTGCTTTCTAGTATTATTCATTTCTTCAAAATGTGGAATCCTCCATAGACCCATCATAGGGTTTTGAGTTATATCTTTTTGCAGGGTTTGGCTATGAAAAATAATGATTTGGCTTCTGGGTAAGTTTATTTTCTCAGAGACAGTGTGACTCAGTCTCTTGTTTAGGTGTGCCTGTGTGAATGGTGGCTGCTATTTCAGCAGCTTTGACTGACCCCCAAAACCCCAAAACCCCGAAACCAGGACACACTCACAGCCACTCTTCACCACCATTCTACCACATATGATAGATCCACAGTACAATAGAAATCCAATCAAAATTTCAGCACTAAAATTCAAACAAAAATCCAACACCCAATTCAATAAAAAATTTAATCCAAAATAAAAAATAAAAAACTCAGAGAAATCAAAACTGCAAATTAACCCTTACCACCATTGCTTGAGCAACCTAGAGTTGTAAGAGGAAGAACGTGTTGCAGAGCAATTGCATATGGCAGTGGAACAGACAGCAACGCAAAGTCTACTATTGATATCGTAAAACTCAGTCGATCTGGAAATTCATCACTCGTTGATTGTTGATCTTCAAATTCCCGTCTTCGATAGTGGAAGAGGGAGGTGGAAGGGAAAAAATGGGGGGAAGGAGTGAAGCGGGAAAAGGTAGAGAGGGAAGAATTAGGTGGAATGAAGGGAATGGTAAAGTTTAGAAGGATGGTTAGGATGGTCTATGAGGAAGATGAAAGTTGGGATGAACATAAAATTAGATGAGGAAATGTGATATTGCACATGTTCATAAAAAAAATTTCGTTTGTGTTTTTAGACAAAGATAGACAGATGGTTTGAATTGAAATCAATTAAAAATTAGGATTTAAATTGAACAAATTAAAAATTCAAGTTTGATTTGATACAAGGGTCAAACCTTGAAGGATTTTTTTGTAATTTTCTCAAAAATGAATAATCAATTTAACATTACGATCCCCATAATTTATTCAAATCACAAGTGTTCAAGACGGAGTTATGGAGCACAGAAGACCCACTTAAGACCGTGACTCATTCACCCCTGTTGGTTTTTGTACTATTCCTTTGAAGCATATATAACCCCTTGGGAGGGTAATTCTACTTGCACAACATTTTTAGCCCATTATACCTTCCATTTTTCATTTCTTTTTATTACAACTTTATCCTTGCATGAAATTACATTTTAATCCACAATTCCCAACCCTAATTTCTCTTCTTACTACCATGTCTAGCAACCACTATTGCTCTCTTTGCCGGCACGGCGCTACTCCGTTCCCAATACGGTGCCCACCTCTCTTATCCCCCGCAACCCTCTCTCATCCCCGCAACCACTAACAAGAATCTACTCCAAATCTAGGATTAAGAAGAAGAAGAAGAAGAAGAGAGATTGAAAGATAGTGTTTGGTCTACCAATGTCGAACATGTGGCTGGAGTTCGAATTACCAACATCTAACATGTGGCCTTCGTTCGATTTCTTAATGTTGAATCGATGGTGATTCTTTGGAGGTTTGTCAGTGACTACGTCCCTCTACTTCTTCTTCTTCTCCTCCAAACCCTAACCCTAATTTCAGTTCATAAACCCTAACCCTAATTTCTATACTTTTTTCCCAAACCCTATATTTGAAAACCTTAGATCTAGGAAGGGGGTTGAGGTGGAAGAGGGGAGTCAGGGCGATGTTTGCAGTAGGAGGAAGAAGTTTGAGAAGGGAGCTACCGATGGGGTTGGGAGGACGGGGAGGGAGGTTGTGGTAAGAAAGGACTGGGGCATGATAGCCGGAGGCGGCGGCAACGATTGTCATCGATGGGGGGTTGCAAGTTGGGAAAGAAAGGGTTGTTGGTAGGAGAGAAGGGGCTAGAGAAGGGGTCGCGGGTGGGGTTCGGGGGTTAGGAAAGGAGGTCGCGGTAAGAAAGGATTGGGGTTTGGCAACTGGAGGCGGCGGCAACGAGTGCCGCCAGTGTAGTAGTAGCCGAAGGTAGCAGAAGAAAGAAAGAAAAATGGAGAGAGAGAGGAGAGGAAGATGGTTGTAAAGAGAGAATGTGAGGTTGGGAATAAGGAGAAAATTAGTATATTGAAAAGCATAATGAGACAAAATAAAAATTTTGAATTTTTTTGAATGAGTGCAATGAGAAAATGTGTGTAAGAATACCAAATTGTTGTGTAAATAGAATTACCCCTTTTGCAAATAGCATCACCAATAATTAATAGGTAAATTACAAATATACCCCTTAACGTTTGCTGAAAATACGAATTGCCTTCTGTGGTTCTAAAAATTACAAATACCTCATTCATAGAGTTTGTTATTTAATAGAATCAATAGAAAAAATGAAATTCCTAACTACCCTTCTATACAACAATAAAATGACTAGAACTGTTAATTCAAATCTATTTATGACGTCATTAAAAACTATTAATCAACTTATGATTGATTAAGGAAAAGAGTCATTTATTATGCGATTAGAAAATTGAAGGGACAATGGAATTTCCATAACTATAGAGACAATTACTATTTTAAGTAAACCCCGGAAAGTGTAGTTGTAATTTACCCATAACTAATTTACAAAAAATAGCTCATGAAACATGCAATTGCACGTTTCATTAGGTTTGAAACCAAAACCAACAACTGAGAAGTAAGCATATATACAGAAAAGGCTATAGCTTTTGAAGGGAAATATGTAACGCAAGGCGTTTACCCCTTATCGAGACATAAGCATTTTGAACTTTTATATTTAGTAAATAGATAAAATAGTAAACTAACAAAAAATATTAAAAACTAAATATAAAGGTGTAAATATTTTTCTCCTCGAAGTATAGAACATCTCGGTATAGAGAAGGAGGCTTGCACTTATTGAAGGTGAAATCAACATATTCAACTTTAGTTGTTAAGCTTCTCAAGTGAGCCTTAACTTTGTGTTTTTTTTTTTTTTTGCGCTTGATTTTTCTCAGGAATATGACTACAAAAGAGCTCCTTTTTATTATTTATGTTTAAACCATGTTTTTTTTACTAAATTTAACACCTAGACAAGCTCTCCATGTGTGGACTTCTTACATGCTTATGCACAAAAAGCGAAGAAGGAGCATGTCTCATACTGTGATAAGCAAGCCTTTGGAAAACTAAAACATAAAGAGTCTCAATACGTTTTGTCTTAGTCTTGCCTCAAGGCAACTTTAAAACTTTCAAAATGGCAACAGGGCGCAATGGAGTGGAGCTAGAGCAGTTTTTTTTACTCTCAACATCCCTGATCCCCATTTATGCTATTTGCCCGTCCCCCCTCTGATCCCTGATGGGGTATTTTTTTAGTCTACCATACCCGTCCCTAGCAGAGACTGGTAATTCCCCGACCGCCCAGCCCCACCTTGATCTGCATTTCTATAAACTAAACTCTGAAGTGTCATTTTAACACCAATTGCTGCATTTTCTGTACACAGTAAGCATAACCATCCAACACCTTTCATGGCAACAATTTAACATAAAAAAATAAGATCCTAAAGCAAATAACATGTCTAAATCATCAATGTGTCATAACCCATCCAAATTATGTGTTCACTGTACACTGCTTATATATATAACTAAGACCAGACCAGCACCAAGAACAAGAAGTTGGATTGTTTGAATCAACTACCTAGTCAATTAAAATATTATAGAGTAGTTGGTTCCTTCAGTGAATGAACAAGATTGAACATTCAATTTATCTTTAAGATTTAATATTCACTTTATCTTTAAGTTAAATTGGTCATAAATCATGATATGTCACAAAAATTACCAAATTCATAAAACTTTACACAGGATCACCATTGCCCTCTTCCTGTGACAAAATTTGTACCATTTTTTTCTGTTCTTTCTGCTTTCAACTTCACATGGCCTATATAATACAGACTAGGTACAAAGTAAAAAGAGTAGCAAACAAAGACCAAACGGCCAAACATAGACCAAACAAAGATTACAAAAGCAAAACAAAATGCTTCAGACTGAAACATAAACAAAGAAAAGCAACACACATCTAACTCAATAGTTAAAAGGAAAATGATACAAATTTTTTATACAGAATTTAGACAAAACAAGAATGATGTGGCAATGGTATCATTGAAAATATAAGTTATCTTGATTGGTCTTTTGCTTTAAAGTGATAAAATCAAAACTTGCAAATCATTCTGTATTAATGTTCTGTATTAAGTGCACTTATAGAAGCCCAATACTTCAAAATCTTTTCATATAAACCCTTTTAGCATAAAAAATTACTCCTATCTAGTTTTCGGATGTTTGTTTGTAACCCCACAAATAATTTTCACAAGGACAATACTTCAAGTTTATAGACAACTTGAATTGGCATTTTATCAAACAACATACATGCAGATATTTTTCCAAACTGAGTCAAATACACAACAAAACTAGTCCATGACCCTGTTAAAGGGAAATTCTATGGTACAACCCCCCTCCAAGGGTGTGTACCATATGTACTTAGTACGTATTTTTGTGGTGTATGTTATATATTTCTTTGGTAAGAGTTACGACAATTTATGGTTCAGAAATAAATTTAAACACTTTGCGGTAATGTTACGTAGTTTGTATTATTGTTACAAATTTTGTAGCTAGAAAATATTTAAATAGAAAATGTGTAACATTACCACAAAAATGCATATAAAACTAGCACAAAATGCGTAACTTTCATTTCAGCCATAAATCATATAAAATAAAAAATACGCAACATTTATACAAAAATACGTAACAAAGTGCATGTGGTACAAAACCCATGTATAAATAATGCAATTGATGGTTTTGCAAAGAAGTTTGGTGACAAATGAAGATCACAAAGTCCAGTGAAGTAACAAAATACTAGGAAACAGAGATTGGTAATACATGGTATCAAAAATTGCAAAAACTGGGACTATGAATCTAGGATGCATAGCATCATCAATCAAACAAAAACAAGCAGATGATGGAGGATTAATACACTTCACATATAGACATACACATATACATACATTATTATACTCGTATAAAGCATATAAAAAGACAGAGAGAGTGAGTTTTTCTCAGTGAAATTGAGGCATTTCTAATTAAGTTCTCACCGTACACTTGGACCTCCAAATCGCAGAGAGGGTAGAGAAACGATGTCTTGGAGGAAGTCGAATTAGGGGACCACGATAATTGTCTGTTGGCACAAGGGAAGAGAGAGAGAGAGAGAGAGAGAGAGAGAGAGAGAGATGAGGGTTCTGTGCTCTTAGCACACTACGTTTGGATTTTTATTTGTTTTTATTTTTCTTATTTTGGGTGAATTATACAGAACTTTAGAAAAGAAAAAAAGAAATGATATGTAAAATTCTGTATTTGATTAGGGGATTTGGAAAAAAGAAAAAGAAAAAGAAAAAAAAGTATATAAAATTAAATGAAATAAAAGTATATTTTATTTGTATTTTACTTTCTTTTTTTATTTTCCTTCTCCAAATTATTTTTCAAATTCCTCAACCATACGCAGCGCTAAAATTTCTGAAATTATAATCCCTTCCCCACAATATAATAACCTTCCGTCCAGGGTGGTGTAAAATATCGCTCATTCCACTAGAATCATCCAAATTCTTACTGATCTATTTGCTAACCGTAGATTAAATTTTAAAATTTATAATCTGTTTCGAAACTGCTCTGTTCTCGTATAGTTAAAATATATATATATTTTAATTTTTAATAAAATATCAAAAGTCTGGGAAATATTTAAAATATAAAATTTGTTGAAAATTAGTAGTTATATGAATGAAAAATATTATGTAAAATTAATTTGTGTTATATATACGGAAAATATTATGTAAATTAGTGTTATATATTATGTAAATACTTGATAATTATTTAAAAATATTTTTCCATCAAGTAACAAATTGAAATCGCGTCAAACTGTGGTTTGATTATTTATCAATCCATCATTCACGGTTTGATTTATAATTTTACTCTCATACTGTCTGAATCGTACCGCGTACACCTTTAACTGCAATTGAACTTTATGAAAAATAATGATCTTTTTTGTATTTTTAAAATGCCAATTTTACCTTAAAAAAATAATATAGGAAAATTATTTAAAATTATTGAACGTTAAAGAAAGAAAGTATTATAAATATAAGGGATAAAAAAATTAACGGGATTTATAAATTTACTGTTAAAGGGTTTACTAGATTGGAATTTTCCAACACACCCCCCTGTACATCTAGCGAAAGAAAAATTAATAAATTTACTCTTATTATATTTTTACGGAAATGAGTCGTATCTCGACACCAAGGGCTCGAATTGGCTCGAAAGAGGGAGAGGAGAAAGAGAAGGGAGGGAGAGGAAGAAGGGAGGGAGGAAATCGTCGCGCAGCACCACCGTCGTCGCCTCGTCGCCGATCGTTGCAGCTTTAGACCGTCGCCTCGCCGATCGTCGCACCACCGCCACTGCCTCGCCGATCGTCGCAGTCGCAGTCGCAGTCGCAGTCGCAGCCCCGCCTCCTCCTCCAGCCGATTTTTATGGCCCCCTCCCCTCCCCTCCCCTCCCCTTCTTCCTCCTCCTCTTCCCTTCTCTTCTTCTCCCTTCTTCTTCTTCTTCTTCTTCTTCTTCGTTCTGCAACAAAAACACGGAAAAAAGAAGAAGAAAAAAAAATATATATCGACACCAAAACGACATCGTTTTGGTGTCGAGCCAAACTCGAGCCACGGGTTTCGAGCTACGTAATACTACCGATATTTTTATACCGTAATAAATTTTAACTTCTTATGTGTAACATTTATAATCATGGGATAATATAATTTATATGACTTTCATTGCATCAATGATTAGAACATGTTGGATAGTATTATTAAAGAAAGAAAGAAAGAAATAAATAAATAAAAACCTAAATTGAATCAACTAATTTATATTAATAACAATGTACAAAAGTATATATAAATAAATAATTTTTAGGGTACTCGGTGTTGGACAATCTTTACTGTATTTAAAAAGATTAAATTCTGTTGTGTACAAAACAACAACAAGAATAAAAGAAATAGAGAAAAGGAGAGAATTTGTTTGATTACAAAAATCAAACTCGAAATAAAAATAAATAAATAAAACCACAGATTTTATTTTGTTACAAAAACAAAAATAAAATCTGATTAAATAAACAGAATAAAAATCAGAATAAAATTAAACAACTTATTTGGTTAATTTATTTGAATAACTTTTCTGATCAAGTCCAGTGTTTAACACTGTGTCCTTAAGACAGATTCGTCCTCTCTACGGTGCTTTCAGAATTTGGACGTCTATCTCCCAGGATGAAATGATCTACCACAAACAATAGCAGCATTACAAATTGTTTGCCTTACGAACACACTAAGTGTTTATACTCTTTCTTTCGGAAATAAAATGCAGCAAGATGAAGAATATAATTAGCAGAAGTGAAATACGAAATTTCTGAATTAAAAAAACATCAAATGAAGGTGGTCCTATTTATAGATGTAAAGGTGACTCTTGGTTTTGAATTGAACATGTATGATACCTGTTGGTTTTGAATTCAAACAGATTTGAATCTGTTAACAATTCAAACAGATAGCAAAACGGGAAGGGCCCTGTTTGGATGTACAGAAAATCCAAATCAGTTTAATTTAAATTCTGGATTTTATTTTACCAAAAAATAAAATTAAATTCAAATGTTTTTGGCCCAAAAAGATTAGAAGTCCAACCACACACTCGCGTCTAAGCCCAGGCCCAGCCCGCCCGATCGGACGGACGGCAGCGCGCGCGTGTGGTAATTTTTGGGTCCAATGGGTCTAGCCCATTTTGTCCATAACCTCTCCCTCTAAAACACTTGGGTACCCCTTGGGGCACACCCTAAGTATCAAACCCAAGCCTTATAAACCCTTTCAAAACTTCCCACCAAATCAATGTGGGACAAGCCAATTTACAACCTTAAGGAATTTCCACCAAAACCCCATTTCCATGGAGCACACTTTGGCTTCAATTTCTCATTCACTCGGTAATGGTTTTGAGTAACCAAATATACCACATGAATCATAACGCGGCATAGAACGCGTTACCACTTTGACCCGAGTAAATCGACACTCGGGGCCCACCTAAAAAATAGACCAAACTTGAGGAAAAATTCTGATTTTACCCAGAATTTTTTTCACCATTTCCAACACTCGGGCCATACATCTAAATTTAAAATTTTTAGGGCAATAGTCTAAAACTCTATTCTTTTGGGGTTAAAAGAACAATAATAATCTGAAATATCATATTATTCCTACCTAACTATTTATCTATTCAAGTGTTATCTATTTGTTTATTTATTTGTCTAAGTGCCATTCCTTATTTATCTATGTGTCATCTACAAGGCCGACCCTGATTTTTTTGGAGCCCGACAAACTCAAAAGATGGACCCTAACTTTTATACATATTTTAATATTGAGATTTATTTTTTTGGTGAAATACCAATAAATTCTAAAATGTGATATTGTGAACTGTTTAATTTTCTATTTTTTCTTATGAATCTAAAGGTCCTACTAAAGTGGAAATTACAAAAAATGATAGTCAATTACATGTTTGAGTTATTTTTTATGAATAAAAGTGGGTTTCTCAAAATGTAAAATTACATATTTGGATAATTTGTACTATAAAAGTTTTAGATTTTCTCTCATTCTAAAACAAATCTCACATTACGAACAAAAACCTAACACTCTAATGTAACATTTCAATAACGTAACACTTCAATGTAACAAACTAAAAAAACTCCTTGGTATACTTTTCCCAAACGTAACAACGTAACACTAAAAAAAAACTCTTTGGTGTACTTTTCCTAAATATAATGCTCTAATGTAACACACAAAAAAAAATTCTTAGTGTACTTTTCTGAAACGTAACACTTCAATCAGTATAATCCCAAATGTAACATTCCAATATAACATACTCCAACGAAACACATGTATTTTTTTCAAATATAACACTCACAGTTTGAAATTATACATTTGCTCAAAACTTACTAAGAAATATTTGTACTCATTTTGGAATGGTTTGAAGAATTTCACTCTTTTTTTTTTTTAGTGTCACATTGGGTGTTACGTTTAGAAAAAGTACATTAATAAGTTTTTTTTTTTTGGTTACATTAAAGCGTTATGTTTGGAAAAAGTACAGTAAATAGTTATTTTTTATTTTTTATGTTACATTAAAGTGTTACACTGAGGAATTTTTTCGAGTGTTATATTGAAATGTTAAAAGTACACTAAGGAGCTTTTTGTGTGTTACATTAGAGTGTTACATTAAATATTTTTTTGGAGTGTTATATTAGAATGTTACGTTTGAAAAAAATACACTAAAAAGTTTTTTTTTTTTTTGTTACATTAGAATGTTACAATGTGTGTTACATTAGAGTGTTACATTAAGAATTTTTTTTGAAATGTTATATTAGAGTGTTATGTTTGAGAAAAGTATAGTAATGAGTTTTTTTATGTGTTACATTAGGGTATTACACTAAGGTTTTTTTTTTTTTTTGAGTGTTATGTTGGAGTATTTCAGTTTAAAATTATACATTTGGCCAAAACTTACCAAGTAGTTTTTGTATTTCTTTTGAAATGCTTGAAAAATCCCACATCCTTTTAGAATGTTTGAAGAATCCCATATTTTAAGTCATTTGTTTATTCCTTTTGAAATGTTTTTCAAATAAAAAAGATTTTTATATAAAAGTTCATCCCAATTTTGATTTCTATATATTGTGTACCTTACCTTTCTATCACAAAAGAAAAAGGGTAAACTACTAATAGGTCCTAATAGTTGGACTTAATTCCCATTAAGTCCTATTGAAAATAAATCTTGATAAAATTGTCAGTAAAAATAAATTTTTTATGACAATTTTTTATATATATTGCTAAAAATTAATAATTAGTGACTTTTTTTTGTCATGATTGTTATAAATTGTCGTTAAAACTTACAATTAGTGAGTTTTTTTACTACAAATTTTTCCTATAAGATCTATTAGACAATAAGTCAATTTATTAGGACTTACACGTAAGTACCCCAAAGAAAAAACAAAGATAGGGAACATAATAGAAATAAGGGTATAACCGTAAATCTAATTTTTAAATAATATATTAAATCTAACTTTCTAAAATCAATAGGATTAATTAGTCTATAAGAAAATCCTTCGGACTACATGGATCATTATTTCTCAAAATGGAATTTATAGGTAAATTTTTCTTATTTTTTAATATTTTTTATTGTTAACATTATTAGTTTATTCACATTTTTT